GGGTTTGTTTTCCGAGCGCCATGTCGGTACCGGCCCTGTCAGCCCTACCAGGTGTCCGTCCGCGCCTTTTTCAGAGAGCCCTGTGACAAGGCACATGGCATGGGGCCCTGTGACCATGGCGACAGCCAGGAAGACATCCGAGCTGTTTTTACTGGATCGTTACACACATCCAGATGTAAAGCTGGGTTTTTTTCCTCTATTTTTCCATCCTCACAGCTTTGTTTGGAAACAGATCAAATAGCTACTAGTGCTGTGTAACGCAAAAAGTGCGTATCGGCTTATTTTGGTGTAGCTGTTCTTTGCCAGCAGATTGTTACTGTCAGGTGTCTTCCAGATACTCCGACTGCTGAGGTGGAACACAAGCATCAGGCTGCTTTGTGGTTTTGCTCTTTTTCGGTTTTCAGTTTGCAGAAAAACAGCAAGAAAGCTCTAGATGGTTCTCTGGTTTTATGAGAGGAATAAAAATATTTGGCAGACTGCTTATTTCGCCTGAGTATTTAATAAAAACATATTCACGGTTGTCAATGTTACTGATTTGCAGTTGGTTGCTGCCCTGCCTGAGGAAATTCGTCCTGGGCCTGATTTCCATGGACTTCCATGGGAGCCTATTATTATCACTGCCTTAGTGGGAATTGCCACAGTTGCTATAATTTTCTGGAGAACCTGCCTTTCAGTGAGTATACGTCATGCTTGCAACCCTGCTGATATTTCGCTTACTGAGGGGTCTTTTGCGTGGTTAAACTGTTTCAGCATTACCAGGCTCAAAGCAATATGTGGTCTTTCACGCTTTTACCTTTTTCCATTTAGATCATTAATCTGAACTAAACGGTAGGCTTAATAGCTAAAGTTGTAATCTTTTTCACGCTGAGAAGCATTTCCTTTAAGCTATTAATTGAAGATTTCTTTAGTAAGGGGCAGTTTTGAAAGCAAAATAAGGGATTATGTTGTAAATCAAGAAGGCTGAGGAAAGGGGTCAGCATATCTTTGAAATGAGAAGCCTTCCGTGTGCGTGAGCCTGTTGCTGACTGTCTCCAAAACAAGCAGTTAATCCTTCCCCCATCATGTTGTCCAGCTGTTCGCAGGTGCTGCAATTAGAAACCTAAACACTTGATCTTAATTCTCACTGGAGAGCCCTTTCCCAGCTCTGCTCCTCAACTCTGCATTTGTCCTCCTCATTCCTACACTGATAACTTTCTGTGCAAGAAAAATACCATCACCACTTCTCAAGTATATCAGCACATCTCCTTGAGAATCGAGAGATGAAAATCAAATAGGACAGTTTATTTCACAGTGCAGGGATAATATGCTCTGGAAGCCTGTGGAATGTTTTTATCTTGGCTTGACAAAAATACATTAAACCTAAATATTATCTGTAATAACACTGGTAGTTTTTTCCTTGCTTAGTTTTGATGTTGAATACTCTAGGTCAGTTTCAAATGCAAAATAATGTTAATGTAACAGCATAAAAAGAAAGCTTCTGAAATTCTCTAATGGTGTTAGTTTCAAAATGAGCAACCGTCATGTAAACATACGTTGCTTTAAATGGATCAGGACTGCGATGCAAGTGGGTTTTGTGTTTGCTAGTTCATGACTTATTGGATGCAAAATGGCTTTATTTTCCTTGTTACAAACTGGTTGTGGGCAGTTAACTGCTATCCTTTTAGTAGCTGAGTAAACAGACACTTACTAAGGCTCTAGGACAGGGTATTAACCTAGAAGCTTTTATTAGAAAACAGCTTAAGCTTGTTTGTAGTGTTATTCAACACTCTTGTTGGCAGTGACAGATGTGTTTTCCATGTGCTACTTTAATTGGCCTAGAAGTGGTGACTTTTTTTCTATAGGAAAAATTAATAACATTTTGCACTTAATCACTTTTGTGGCTAACTTTTTTTTTTCCTTCTGTAGGTAAAGAGTCGAATATATCAAGGTAAGTTTCTCTGTGCTGTTCAGTGTACTTGATGCTTAGGCATGTACAAATTTTGAAGATTGTTTCACAGAACCAAGTGTGAATTTTCACTGCCTTTCAAGGAGAATGCTAAGTCGGGTTACGGTGTAAGCCAGGCTGGTGGATGATACTTATTTGAATCTGAGGATTTCAGTTTTGCTTTTGATAATGCTTTGATTAGGAGAAACAATGCAGCTCACACCTGCAAATTAAAGAAAAAGCAAGGAAAAGCTCTGCCTTGTTCAACATAAATGTGATCCATTGGTTTACTGGCACAGTGGTAGTGGGACAGAGTTTGCTCTGGTTTTCTGACTAGCAGGGAATCGGCTTTTGCTGGTTGCTTCTCACAAAAAGCGGTAGCTAGTTCCTCTTGCCTTTGTGGATTGAGAGGAGCCTGAAACTGCCTGCTGTGCAGTTGCAAAGAGACCTTCTAAATGTAGACCTAAAAATGCAGATATTCCTGTGGCTAGCACATCACTTTTTACAAGGATGTTTCTCCAGCTCCAAGTATATAAAATTAAAGGGTACTGAATGGAAGGGAAATAGAGTTCAAAGTAGGGAAATTGCTGAAATTCATAATTGAATACAGAACAAAAAAAATTGAAAGAATTGTCTTCACATGAACTCTCTGCCTGTTTCCTCTTCACAAACCATGCTACTTATCTGTCATTCCTCTCTAGTTTCATTGTAGTTATACTGCAATTTCCTTCTGTATAATTGATGCAGAATTGGTGAGCTGAAAAATTCCATCTTGGATCTGTAAGGAGACCTCTGTGCTGCAAAACAAATGTTATTGGAAGGGGGAAAAACATTGGTACTGTTGTTGGCCTGCCTTAAAGAAAACATTGGCCTGCCTTAAAAAAAACAACCAACCAAAAAAAAACCCCAAACCAAAAACATAGATCTTATTCCCTTTTTATGTTCCCCCCCCCCCCCATGTAAAAAAAATACTTGTGTAGCAACTACTAAAGCTAAGAGCAAACAAATATTCTTCAAGCATGATAAAGTTCGTATGGTTAAAATCTTTATCTAAAATGGACAATGTTAACAGTGACAAAAATGCATTAAGAAATAGATGGCATTTGGAATATCAAAGGTACAATCTATTCTCCACTCTTCATCACAGTAGTAAAATTGGGAGACCAAGCTATATGCAGGGATTCCTGCCGCCCTTAAACTGCTGAGGACAGTCTTGTACCTCAGCAGTCACTTGTTGGCTCTCCTCTCCCTGGAGCAGGAAGGACCCACTGGCCCAGAAGCCCTCATGCAGGAGGGGAAGGAGGAGTAGCAGTTGGCTTTGTGCCCTCGGGATGCGGTTGGAACAACCAGTGCTTCCTATTTGTGCTGCAGGATTTGCTGTGAGGCAAATGAGGCTTGGGGTGTTCAAATATGGGGATGCTTTAGGGCTTCAAGAAATGACAATTGGATGTTTCTTTAATAATAAAACAATTTAAGTATGTTAATGATTTTTGTTGAATCCTGAGGGTTGGTTGGTTACTGGTTCAGGTCTGTGAGCAGTAGTGTCTGTTAGAAAGCCCTGCAGTTCCTGGAGGCTTACTGGTGCTGTCTGCCAGCTGACAGTCTCTTTTCCATTCCCTGTAGGCCTTTCAGAGCTTTCATCCTATGGTCTTTGCTGACCAAACATTCAGTTTCAATACAGCAGGAAAAAGTGGTTGTTAGGGAGGGTGCTGCATCTCCCTGAGTGTCACAGGAACCGAGGCTGCTCTGACATCCTCATTGCCAATTCTTTCCTTGAACGTACCTTGTCTGTGTGTAGCCAGCACCTTACTCTGCTGTGTGTTTTCTGACCAGCTTCTGTGAAGTCGATGTGAGGGCTGCGTGCTTTGTGTCAGTGTTCGATGCTTTACTGTCTTGCTTTCAATCCTAACTTTAAATGAAAGCTGGAGATGCTTAGACTCCTGCAGAAAGGGCTGACTGCCAGGGAATTGACACTATCCTGATTTGTGCTTTAGTCCTTACTTGAAATTGTACCCTTAAGTGGTAGCAATGGTAGCTCTGATTTTCTTTTTTTCCCTTGGGATTTGAAGTACAGTTACTGTAAGCTTTCTTTTTCTTCCTAGTGACTGAAAAGCAACTTGCTGAAAAGATTAAAAACCTTCTACAAGAAAAAACAGAAATCTTAGGAAAGATATCAGAATATGATCAAAAGGTATTGTCCTAGGTTCTTATCCTTTGCTTCCTGATTTTTCTGTTACTGGTTTAATGACACAGTCAGTGCAACAAATAAAATCTTTTTATTTCTTGTTCTTACTGGATATTATGTTGGCAATTTCCTCAGATCTGTTTGTTTGTTTCTGTGCTTAGATAAAGGAAGCAAAGGAATCTGTGAAAGTGGCCCAAGAACAAAAAGACATTCTCTCTGATGAAACTGCAGGGCTTAAGGTAAGAAACAGTCACCTGTCTCTGTACTGAAAGCAAAAATGTCAATAGAAAAACTTGCTGTAGTTTGTCTTTTACTTTTTTTTTTTAGGACACTGTCAAAGACCTGGAAGAAGCAAATCGTCAGCTAGATGACAAAGTTAAAAATCTGCATGCAATGCTTGAAACGGAGAGAAAAAAGAATGAGAAGAAGCAGAACAAAGTAAGAGCAATCACACTGATGTCTTGTATCGTCCTTAACTTCACGTGCCCAAAAAGCTGGTCACAACCTCATGGGTGAACAGAGAGAAGTAGAGCAAACAAGATGAACAATCTCAAAAAGAGCGCTGAACCGAAATTTCAGATTCATCCCAAGCTCAAGGGGAGAATCTGTTGATCATTTGAGTGATTGTTTTGGTTTCGTAAGATCTTGATGAACTCGTGTGGTTATGTGCTTTCACACACACACAGATGTGTTCAAATCGTGGGCTAGTCTAATACTTCCTAGCCAGAGCCAGGAAGTTCCTCAACCATGTGGGCTGAAGATCTCAGGTTGATAAGAGACGTTTTCTTGTAGTTAGAGGAGCATCTAGATCTATAATAAGTGTGAATATCTTTAAGCTGCCCCTCATTTTTGTTGTCCAGAGATATGTTTTTTCTTTATCTTCTTTTTGAAGCCTGATTTTCGGTAGTAATGGTAAGCTCCAACAAGTTCTTTGGTCTTGTTTTGATCAAAGGTTGCTGCTAATGACAGCAACGCGTGTTACTTTCATTCTAGACTGCAGGTGTACAGGGAACTTTCCCAGCCACAGACAGACGGAGCCACAGGGGGAAGCTGGTTCTGATGTGTTGTGTGTTTCTATTCCTTACCTCGTTGATAGGGCAGCGCTGTTTTGCTGATAATCTAATGGCTGCTCTACATGAAAATTTACTGGTGTTTTAACTTTCTTCTCATGCTTCCAAAATAAACAGATAATTACACACTTGGGCTAAGGCATGTACCAGAGTAATTACACACTTGGGCTAAGGCATGTACCAGGCTAATACAGCCACTGCTCTTTACTGCTCTTTTTTTTTTTTTTAATATAGATCTCTGAAACCCAGAAGTCCTTAGAGAAACTTCAAGAGGCTATGAGTGTGCATTCTGTTGAGCTTTCAGAGGTAAAGCATTATCTCTATGTACTCTTAACAGTCACAGGTTCTCGTACTAGGAAAAATTAACATCTAGCATGTAATTAAAAAAATGCTAACTTGGCAGATTCCAGGTTATTTGTGCACAAATACCTTTTTATTTTCCATTTTACCAGGTAATACGTAGTTCTTGCTCCGTCACAGTTTGACTTTATGTCTCTCTTCCTTTTTGTTTCATTTGTAGGTGCAGATAGCCCTTAATGAAGCTAAACTAAGTGAAGAAAAGGTGAAATCTGAGCTTCATCATGTGCAGGAAGAGAATGCTAGGCTGAAAAAGAGCAAGGAGCAAGTAAGTTATGCCCAGACCAGGCAGCTTTGTTCTCTTCCGAATGAAACATCGGGCCTTTATTCCTAGTTTTCTAATCATAACTTCAGCCTGTCTCTGTGTTACCAATGTGTCAGAATTCCACATTTCGTAATATCAAGATAAAATTTTAACCCCTTGTGCCTGCCTGGACAGGCTTTCTGTGCAGGTGAGCTACATGCCTTCAGTATGGAGGCTTTGCCAGTTCCAGTGATTCAGTTTTTATCAGCAACTTGACAGAAAGTCTGTGCTGATGTGGTGGTCACGCGCACTGCGTGATTGGGAAATTGCTGCTTGGGATCAGGATTGAAGGAAGTCATGGTAAAGAACTGCCAAAAAACAATCCTGAAGCTAAGCTAATTCGGGAAGACCCTTAGCCTTAAAATGTGATGACAGTTCTTTTACACATAATTGCAATTAGCTCTTGTTTTCTTTCTCCATGTATGAAGTAGATGGCCTTTTAAAGGAATGTGGTTTGATTACCTCAGGGCTGTAACTAATTCCTCATATTTTGAAGTGTGTGAGCAGTTTGCGTCTGGTGTTGGGATATTAGCTGAGAAAATGTCAAATTTGTAAAATCACCTAATAATATAAACTGCAGAAATATTCCCAGCATCCGGTTCTACCAGTAGACTAGTGATGAGTGTTGTAACTGTGAAGTTTACCCTTTATCAGTGGCCTGTGGTGATCAGTTACCACCAGAGCTGGCAGTAAAACAGACTTTAATTACATATACCCTGTACTAAAAATAAAACAAGTAATCATCTTGCCTTGGTGCTTCCTACAGCTGCTAAAAGAAGCCGAAGGTTGGAGTGAGAGGCATGCTGAGCTCAGTGAGCAGATCAAACTGTATCAGAAATCTCAGAAGGACATAGAAGAAGCACTCGCCTACAAGGAAAATGAAATTGAAGTACGTTCTTTATAACGAGCTCGCTTTAAATGCGACACATCGTGAAATACTTTGAAATACTTAATAAAACGCAGAGCGATTCTTCTTCAGTGAGCCTTTGACTTCGTTCCTAGGTTTTAACGAGCTGCATTATGCAGCTGAAGCAGCTCGATGTGGATTCGGCATCTGAGGCCAGGAAGGATGGCGAAGGGCATGAATGGAGCGCAGGAGATGATCTGGCCAACGGAGAATTGCCAGGTACAGTAATCCGACCTCCTGGCTAAAGCGTGACCTCCTGGCTCCTGTGGCTAAAGCGTACGCAGTGATGCGTTCGTGTCATGTCTTGTGGGAGACAAGGGGAATCCATCCATGTAGCTCTCTGTGGGTTAACAGGCTGCCAGCTTTAGTCCTCAGACACAAAATATCTCCTAACTGAAGGGAGAAATCATTAAAAAGGCCAATAATTGCTTCTAGATTACCTTTTAGGTGTATCGTGAGTGTAATGACACAGTTTTAAAGATTGCATATACAGGTTAGTAATTAAGGACATTCTGAAAGCAGAGAATCTCACATTTGTTATTATGCTACATTTATTTTTAATATGAATTTTTAATAAGTATTGTGCTTCCCTCCAGATAGATAACTAATTTAGGTAATCACATCTTTTTGAATCTGAAAGACTGAAATAGACGTTTTCAAAACTACTCAGGCAGTTTGTAATTCCTGATGTTGCACATTTATTTTCTACATCTCTGATTTTGAAGTCCTCTTCCACTCCCCCTCTTCTTTTTTTCCTAACCATACAGTATATGTGGGCTGGAAATTCCTACTTTTTGGTTTCCAGATACTATGTCTAGTAACAGATATTGCATTCACACTAATATTAGTGTGGTGGCTAGAAGAATTGACAAAAAGGAGCCTGCTGAATGCCTTTCGCAATAAATCTAATAGTTGTGTTGTGCCGGTCATGGAATTACTGTTGTGCTTTGTTCCCCACCTCCTCTTTTTTATTTTTTTTTTTAACCACATAAGGAGACCTATCCCAGATTAAAGCGTAGGGAGGATTATTTTTAATAGCTGTAGAGTCCAGGGAATTTGGGTTAAGAAACAAGGGAAAACAACTGCATTTTTCTTTTCTAGATAATGAAAGTGAGAAGATGAAGACTCAGATTAAGCAGATGATGGATGTCTCCAGGGTATGCTGCATGAGATGTCTAATAAATGCAGCCAGATTGCTGCTATGCCTAAAATCATGAACTTTCTCCTCCTCTTTTCAGGTAAAAACTATGCTGTCCATAGTTGAAGAAGACAGAAATCTTCTGCAATCCAAACTGAGTGATGAAGTAACAGCAAGACATGAGCTGGAAGGTAGCTTTAGCAAAAGAATTGCTTGGGGTGAAATCATGTTTGTAGTTTAAAAAGAAACAGAGTGTTTAAGTGGCATAACAGGTCTCATTGCAACTTCAACTTCTTCACCTACCTTTGCCTCTCCAACAGAGCAAATTAAAAAGTTAGAACATGACTCCTGTTCGCTCCAGTCAGCCAAAGCTCAACTGGAAAATGAATGCAAAACACTGCAGCAGAAAGTGGAGATTCTTGGTGAACTTTACCAGCAGAAGGAGATGGCACTCCAGAAGTAAGTCTTTCAGTACTCTTCCACAGCAGAGCATGTTATATCGTAGGCACTATGCAAATGCTTTTTGCTCAGAAGGATCTGGTAACTTGAAGTTGTATTTGGAACACAAGGTGATGACTACTGTTTCAGTGGGGTTGGAGCTAGTACCTCTTTGTTACTTTTTGCACCATTCCAGAGATTCCCAGAAGAATGGTACTTTGCATACACAATATTGCCTTCTGCTATTAAAAACCAACCAAACAAAACTCAGCTTTTGGAGAGGGGAGATGGGTGGCTTGGTCTGCAAATTCTGTGATTGCATTGTCATATTGTCCAGAGATGTCAAGGAGAATATAGTGGCCGTTAAAACTTGTTTCAGTGACTCTGACCTCGCTTCAGTGAGTCAGACTCATAATGTAGAAACTTAGTATGTAGCCTTTTGAGCTTGTGGCATTGTCAAAGGGCTACATAGAGGCTTTTGTGGTAGCAGCTGAGATGAGTGAATTGCTAGCAGTGAAGAATAGTTGTGTAGCTGTTTTCATTCCTCATTTATTTATTTACTTACTGAAATGTCTGTAATACCATCTCGATTTTGT